AGCTTGAACTTCCATAGCTGCTAGTTTGTTTTGCTGAGCTTTGCAATTTCAAACTTCATATCTGAACTGCATACCATCTTTCAGTAGCTTGGATGCAGCTCTTGTTGACTTGCAGTGTTCTGTTTAGGGCCTGGGCCCATAACCTGTTTGTTATGTGTTTATATCAAGCACTGAGATCTTGAGGAATACTGAATTAAGTTTTACTTGCTTAGAAGAACATTACATGTATGCAAACAGCATTGCGAAGGAAAACATAGAGAAAATTAACTTCCTGTGTATTATAGATAAGCATGCACATAGAAACTAACATTGCACTAAAGTGTCATCTACAGCTCAAAAGACAAATTATAATCAGCAATACAATCATTATATGCTGTTGTATTTCCAACACCACCAACGAAGGGGGTCAAGCTGACCATCCACTAAGGTGGCACACTGACCACTAATTTAAGGGGGCATGATGACCACCAACATAAGGAGAGTCGGGAGATAGTGTCGTGGGACCACTGTAGGTTCTCAAGGTAAGTAAGCGCTGGTCAGCATGGGTTTTAACATGCTGACCATTAACACAAAGGGTAAATTGACTGCTGACCACCAATGAAGGGCGTACACCTATGACCACCAAAGGGGTCACACTGACCACTAATGAAGAGGGCACACTGACCACCAGTGCAAAGGTCACCTATTCCTGGCCACTGCACTTTGCAAGCTGTGATAAGCATTTACATTAGGGATGCACCGATACCACTTTTTTAAGGCCGAGTACGAGTACCGATACTTTTTTTCAAGTACTCGCCGATACCAATTACCGATACTTTTTTAAAAGGAACAGGTCACATTTTTTCTAAAGCAATACAAAATCATGATTTTAGGTCAGTTTCTTAATATTATGAAGAACATGAACACTCTGTAGTGTGGCACAGCTATATCCAATTCTGCATACCTGGCTTTATATTATAAGAACTTTATAATATAAAGCCAGGTATGCAGAATTGGATACAGCTGTGCCACACTATACAATAATACACTGAGTGCATCCATAATTTACATAGTTGTGACCTCTGTACTCTGACCACTGCACTGTATGCGCTATGTTCTTTTTATTATATAGACTTGACTTTAGCACTGCATATGCTTTGTAGTCTTGACCATTGCACTCTGTATGGAACATATGGAACATAGTCCTGACTGCTGCACTCTGCAAGTTACACAGTCCTGGCCACTGCACTCTATATGCTACATTGTACATTACATAGGCCTGACTTCTGGACACATGAATGAACTAGTGAAAAATTGGACTGCTGGTTTGAAGGAAAATTCCCAAGTACATGCTCATGTCAATGAAAAAGAACAGGTAGAAAAAATGATGCAGTTACGAATTGGTGCAGTTATGATGTGAAGAGAATAGATATAAAAGAGTAAAGTCCTTCTGCTAGCTAAATTGCATGAAAATGTCTATTCACAAAAGACAGTTGTGAGGTTGAGGCAATCAACATAGAACTCAACACAGAAATGTAATATCCAGATTAACAGAGCTATCCTAAAACCCATTTTTACGTATGTATGTGGACAAACTATTGTCCAACCCATTATTCTATTCTTATAAATGCAGTACAAAGTTGGGTACTTACAAAGCCTACATGGAAAAAAAATATGAAGTTATTATGTGAAGGAAATAGATTTAAAAAAAAAGTGAAGTCCTTTTGTTACCTAAATGATATGAAACTGAAGCAGTGGCACCAGCTGGAAAGAGCTATTACTATTCACTAGAGACAATTGTGAGGTTGAGGACATCACAGAACTCAACACATAGATATAATATTCAGTTAAACAGAACTGTCCTAAAACCCATTCTTATGTATGTGGACAAAGTTTTGGAACGGAAACTATTGTGGATTTTGTTTTAGTTTATATATTTTTCAAACTGTTTTATATTTTGTTACTATCTGCATACAATCTTTGTTTTACACATACTGTAAATGACAAGGAAACCTGTAGATTTTTCATTACAAACTTACCTACTTTGGGAGTTCATACAAGCATCTGATTAATTTCCCACTTGTGTCCAACTTGTGTTTACACTCGCATGTCTAGAGCTCGTACAGTCTGTCACAGACATTTTAGGCTTTGCTGGGTTTTTGTGGGAGTCTTATCACAGTATTTCTTAACTGTTTGAAGTTGGATTTCTCCAGATTGTAGTTTGCAGATACCAGATATGTCTACACATTTTGCCACTCTTTCGATTCATTGTATGGCAATTATTGTTAACGCAGTGTGTGTTTATCTCTGTAATCATATTATGGTATGTATTTTTTATTCAATATATAAAAACCATAAAAAGTAAATGACAAGGATACTCAGTTAATTATGGGTTATCTGAAGAGACAGCACAGCAGCTTGCATTGTAGCACTCTTTATGTGATAGAAACCAGACTTAGCCTTCCTTCATACCTACAATGTAGGTGCGTTTAGAGATTCCTGCATCAGGAACTTGTGATTTCCTGCAGCAGGATTCCCAAATATGCCATTTACAAGAGGCAGCTCTCATCCGTTTAAGTGAATGAATGTGAATGACAGCAGCCGCATTTTAAAGCAGAACACCGGCAAAGCGCATTTAATTGTCTGTGATACAATTACATACAGTTAGAAATCAATCACTATCTCTAGAAGCAGGATAGATGCACATAACACATGGTGCTAATAATGTGTTGTTTTTGTATAAATTACTTGCAAGGCTACACCTACAATATGTTTAATTCTGAGCACCACTCAAAGAACATAGCAGTTAACAGAAAACAAAGGAAAATCTTACTGACAGTGAGTGAATAAAAACCTGTGTATATTCAGTTGGAGAAAAAGGTGATTTCATTATGAGTAAGACTAAAAAATACATTTTTCTTAGGGAAATATTTCCTATTAATATTATGCATTCTTCTATCCAGCCAGCAGATGGAGCTTTAGGTTGCTTTTCCTATGACTACCTATAGATAAACCATAATGCTCTGGACATGTTTTGTCAATTATTACGTGTGTATTTGTAAAACAAATGTGCACGTGTGGTAAATATATATATTTTCACACCTTTGTCAACCATTGTCTAAAACAACTTAATGTAAGTAAAGCTAGCCATACACTATGCAAATTTTGAATGGCTCTTGATCAAACAACAAAAATTCACACAGTGGATTCTGCTGTCGTCACCCTTTTGGCTGGCATCCCTCGATAGCTGATTGAAGGAGCCAGTTGGAAAATCTTTGAACAAACAGAGCCAGCAGCCAGTCAGCTGCCTTCCCTGTGTCGGGTATTCTGACGGTGGCTAGTGGCCACCGTCAGAGTACAATGAAGACAGTGGGAGATTCCTTGATCAATGCTCGTAAGCGGTGATGGGAGGAATCTGTAATATTTTCTTAATTCAGCCTGTAGGTTGAACAAAGAAAATATTACAGTGTAAGCAAAAGAATGGATGCCAACAGCTTGCGCTCCAAAGGACCAAACGTAACTATTAAAATGGTCCCACATTGACTTCAGTAAAATTGGAGTTTGAAAAATGGAGTTCAGTAAGTTTTTGTTTTGAAATTCGCCAACTTTGAGTCAAAACAAAGATTTTCCATCACTAGTGACTAGTTTGATGTTTATGCTTAAGGACCCTGTTCTTAAACGTTTCATTTGTTGAACATGCACTTTTTTACAACAATTATTTATGATAACTATTCAGGAAATTTAGCTGGAATGAGTTACATGACACCTTGTGGTTCATTTCAGCTAGTGCAGTAGCGGCTAGTATAATGAATAGCTTGAGAAACACATTATTGTTGACAATAATGTACTTCTACTCAGGCTTCATAAACAAAAATGACATTTCCTCTGTCATAGCGTGACAGATTTCACGATTAGCACACAATTAATTGATTCCCTGTCACTGTAGAGTGACTGACCTCTATGTTCATTATTAGGGATATTATAACTATGTGGTCTATTCACGAAGCTGCCGAAGGATCTGGCCGTAGCTTCGGCCGATCCTTCGGCTAGCTTCGGCCCCAGGACCCCTTCGGCCGATGTTGGCCGAGCGGCTCAGGCGAGCTGAACGCATATGCATCGGCTCGGCTGAACCGTGCTGAAAGCCAAAGCTGGACGAGCGGCCGTGACACAGCACTGTTCCTTTCCTTGGCGGCCGGGAGCGGGGGGGCTCCCAGAGCGCCCGGTAGAGGTTTTTTTTTCTCTTTTTTTTTTTTACAGCAGCAGAGCCGCCGGACAATAGGAAACTATTGGGCAGAGCTAGCTGTCCCTGCTAGCTCCGCACAATCGTTTTCTATTTACTTTTTTCACTCCTTTTCTGTTCTGCTCGGTCCCTCTGAGGGACCGAGCAGAACAGCCGAGCCGAATGCCGCTCAGTGGCATTCGGCTATTCACTCACTGCTGTTCGGGATCTTTCAGAATAGCCCGAACAGCAGTGAGTAGCCTGCCGGAGGTTCGGCTCAGCCGATCCAGATGTTGGATCGGCTGAGTCGAACTCCTTCTGCACTTCGGGTCGGCCGAACATGCTGAGCATGTACGGCTGACCCGAAGCCACTCGAAGCAAGCCGATGTACGGCTGATTTCAACCGATGTACGGCTGAAATCAACCGTACCAGCCTGAAGTGAATAGCCGAACAGTGTTCAGCTCACTTCACTTCAGATCGGCCATTCACTCGGCTGCCCTCGGCAGCTTCGTGAATAGACCCCTATGAATGCAGCATGTAAACAAAAGACATTTGTATGGACAGTATACTTGTGCTCACCATAAAGAAGACACTCTCAGTGTTCCTGATAATAGATGTAACTGATCTTGGCAGTGACTTAATTCACAACATGTTTACCATGCAAGCAATATAAATGCATTCTGACACAGGATGAATGTCAATCTCTACACGCACTAAGCAAGAGGATGTAGCTTAACTGAAGTTAAAGAAGGACAGAATAAGACCATTGACAATTAAAGGTAATGTAAGATGATGCTGTGTAAAGATAAATAAGGAATTACATTTATTTAAAAAGGCATATCTTACATGTTCATGTTTTAAACCCTTAACTTTATCTAACATAAAATTTTCTTGGTCAAAAGTATTTTTTTTCATACCATAACATACAATGTTAGAAACTCAAAGAAAAAAAAAATAACACAAAGTATCTTACAGCATTTCAATGATTATTCAGCCATATTTAGTACTATTAGGCAGAAGTCCTTTAGAATACGACCGAGTTAATTGCACATATTCATCCAGATGCTTAAGAATAAACTTGACCTTACCATACAATGGGGAGCATTTTGTAGATTATAATTCAACAGTGGCCATCAAAACAATAAAATTAGAATTTAACAGTAAAAAAAGGAAATGCATGTACCTGTTTATTAACTCAACATTGGTTTGCACTTTGACATTATGCATGATCATGAATTTACTGCCCTTGTTTTAAAGCGGTGCCATTCCAGAGTATACTTCCAGTGGCATAGGAGCATAGCTGAACTCCCACTAAGGTGAAAAGGGCAAATACAGATGTACTGAGTGAATAGAAACGTGTTGTCTTTAGTACATTCATCCTCTGCAACACTTTATCGGTTATAGTCAGACTGAAGATAGAAAACGTATTAGTGTTTCAATTACAAATCTATTAGCGTTCCAATACAGCTTATATAATGTCATCTATCAACAATCAGAATGATTTTGGTGGTAGTGAAACATCAGAAGCGGCCAACTAAAGGTCCTATCCAGAAAGCTGAAAGGCCATTCCAAGATTCTGTGCAAGGAGAAATTGTTCCTGGACTCCCAGCCAACTTTTTACAAGGGGTGGTGGTGAACTTCTAATGATTGTCCTGGTGGAATCTAACGGTAAAAATGAACACTGTCCAGTTCTATTCACACACGAAAAATGCATAAAAAGTCTTTCTGATATGCCAGTCCCAATAAAGAAAGCATCTCTTTCATACTGAGAAGGGTGTTATACTCTGCTGTGGATATCAGTGGTTTTCCTGAAACAGAAGAAGGTGTAGATAAGTGCTTATTAGTACAGTACATATCAAAAGCAAGAATTGTAAAATATGAAATCATTTATGATAATTCTTAGATCAGCATACATTAAGGGGTCTATTCACTAAGCCGCCGTAGGCAGCCGAGTGAATGACTGACCTGAAGTGAAGTGAGCCGAACACTGTTCGGCTATTCACTTCAGGCTGGTACGGCTGATTTCAGCTGTACATCGGCTGAAATCAGCCGTACATCGGCTTGCTCAGCATGTTCGGCCGACCCGAAGTGCAGAAGGAGTTCGACTCAGCCGATCCAACATCTGGATCGGCTGAGCCGAACCTCCGGCAGGCTATTAACTGCTGTTCGGCCTATTCTTATAGATGCCGAACAGCAGTGAGTGAATAGCTGAATGCCGCTGAGAGGCATTGGGCTCGGCTGTTCTGCTCGGTCCCTCAGAGGCACCGAGCAGAACAGAAAAAGAGTGAAAAAAGTTTAAAAAAAGTAAATAGAAAACGATTGTGCGGAGACAGCAGTGACAGCTAGCTCCGCCCAATAGTTTCCTATTGTCCGGCGGCTCTGCTGCCGTAAAAAAAAAACGAAAAAAACAACCTCTCCCGGGCGCTCTGGGAGCCTCCCGCTCCCGGCCGCCCAGGAGAGAAACACTGATTTTTCTTTCTTTATTCTGACACGTGTCAGAATAGAAAAAAATATATATCTTTTTTGCCCATTGGAATGCATTGCTACATTCCTATTGGCTATTTCAATTTGCTATAGCCAATAGTAAACTAGCATTGTACCCGCCCTCTGCTGATGGACCTGATGGAGAACTGCAGCAGAGGGCAGGTACAATGCTAGTTTACTATTGGCCATATGCGTTCAGCTCGACTGAGCCGCTCGGCCACGATCGGGAGCTGTACGGGCTATAGTGAATAGCCCGTACAGCACCCCTTCAGTTCTACTGAACCGAAGGGGTCCTGGGGCCGAAGCTAGCCGAAGGATCGGCCGAAGCTATGGCTAGATCCTTCGGCAGCTTCGTGAATAGACCCCTAAGTCTTGCCCTTGGATCCTAATAAGTAATAATGCTGACAATGCAAAAGTGTCACTTGGAAAACCATAAAAATCCTGAACTGCATTGCAGAAGGGAGATGGCTTCTGTCTGTGCTAATCTAATAGCAAGCAAATAAATCCAAAAAGGGAATATAACAAATAAAAAGTAAATATAACAAATTGGACCCTTTCATTGTTTTCAGGTGATTTATTAAATGTTTGCCCTCTGTCAAATAACATACAGTACTCTCATAGGCCAGACCTGGCTGCTGTGGAGAGTAACTGTGGCCCCTCGTCCCTCACGCTGAGACTGCAGAGTCACAGACGAGGTAGCTGAGAACCCTGACTGTTGAATGAGCAAAGACTTGCTGCTTCAGTGTGAATGTAGCTGAAGGGCTACTTAGGTGAATAAAGGGCTGTTCATGTAGGCTTGCCATGGCGGGGCATTCTAGGGGTCTATTCACAAAGCTGCCGAAGGATCTGGCCGTAGCTTCAGGAGAACCGAGGGGGTGCTGTATGGGCTATTCACAATAGCCCGTACAGCTCCCGATCACGGCCGAGCAGCTCAGTTATCCATACGAAGCAAGCCGATGTACGGCTGATTTCAGCCTATATACGGCTGAAATCAGCCGTACCAGCCTGAAGTGAATAGCCGAAGTGTTCGGCTCACTTCACTTCTGATCGGTCATTCACTCGGCTGCCCTCGGCAGCTTTGTGAATAGACCCCCTAGTCTTCCATACATATCCTTTTTTTCCAGGTTCAATTCTTTTTATTTGGTTTAAAAACCGGGATGACAAAAATACACCTTGGTGTCGGGCAGAACTCCCATGTGTATATGTGGGAGTTGCATTATCTTGGGCTAGCTAATCAAAATGGCTGAAGCCTTTGAACCCGAAAGGAGACCTGGCGAAGATGTTAACACTGGCCAGAGAGCTTGAAGACATCACATTGTTGGAGGGGAAATAAGTATAGGGGACTTATGCTCCACTTTAACCTACGTTACTCTGTTATACACAGATAATACCATTGTACACTGTACAAAGTATTTTATACAACAATGGTTTATCTCTCCTTATTTACAACCATGTGTGGTTGCGGTTCTGAGACCACACCCTAAACCAACATCTAAGCAGTATTAATAGAACACAATGATTATATAACAATCAGGGCTATTGCCTCAGGTGGCATCTCTAAGGGTCACGTGGGGGGGAGCAGGGAAAGTGGCACGACCCCTTTGCTGCACAATGTTTGCAGTGTGTCTGCTTTTCCAGCCAGAGCACCCCAGCTAAGAGCTGGGTGGGAAGATCTATAAGGGCCTTGCACATCTCCCTACTCAGCTCTTAGCAATCTGGGGCGCTGTGGCTTGCGTCAAACTGAGCTCCTGGCAACCAGTGACATCACTGGTTGCCAGGAGCTGGGTGGGACTCCTGCTGGAGCGACAACATCACTCTTGCACGCCTGGGCAGTGGTGTCACTCTCCTCCAGCTCCCCCTCTCCGTGACTGAGTGTGTGCACCACCAGCACCACCTCAAGCGGCAAAATGGATCAGGACACCCCTTACAACAACCATATCTTTCCCAAAGTGTGAACATGAAAGTGCCTCTTACATCCCAGCACAACATACCTCCTGTTTATGTGCTTTATCCTGTTGATGGATACCATTGGCAGACCCTGAGTTTCCAGTCACCTGTCAGAAAAAAAGATGACATATGCATAAAATCAGATAAAATGCTGTTTACTGTCAGTGTTTTATAACTGAAAACCCTGCGATGCTTTACATTATATAGCTATGAAATATAACATGTGCATATGAATGCATCTGAGTGCCAAAGTGAAGTGTTAATTGCTTGTTAACTGCTGATATATTAATTATGATGCAAAATAAAGGTGGCCATACACTGTACAACCATCGCAAGACCTTAGTCTTGCGATGGTTGTACAGGGATTAAAAAACGTACGATCGCACTTCGCATTGCGGGCTTCCGATGACCGCAATGCTGAACGGGCAGTGTGCGCGTGCGCACACCGGCCCGTTCGGCATTTGTCTTCCGAGCACCGTTCTAACCAGCCGAGAATCGTACGATTCCCGGCTGGTTTTCGAACATGCTGGTTCTGCGGAAGACGTGCGACCGTACAGTAGAAACGGTCACATGTCTCCGTTCACACTGCTCGATTCTCGTACGATCGCGGGACATTGATTTAAAGATGATATTTGGTTTGATAAGGGATGCAAAGCTCTCACTTTTGGTATTCTACCATTGATCGTGTACTTTTTATATCATTGTAATGGCTTGCTTCTGCTTTTCAATAATGAAATGATTATAGTACAGCATGTCAGCCTGGTTTGTGCTACCATGATAAGAAGATGAAATTGGTGACAAAGTGTGGTTATATATAATCTATACCTGAGACTTTTCAGCGCTGCTTCTCATGGCCTCCATTAATTTCTCCACTTGATGACCCTGGTCTAGAGCTATTCGAAGGACATCTTCTGTGCTTATCAAACGATGTTGTAACCTCAGAACTTCTGACTCTGTGGATGGGTCTATTAATGAGTATCTCCTCTGATCTGTTCCTGATTTCTCTTTATCCTAATGGACAGAAAAAAAAGTTTATGTTAGAAATTGTTCACAAATACACTTGAGCCTGCAGCAACATGCAATATAAGCATCTAAGATGTAGAGCCACGGAAACATCAAATAGGACATGTATAATTCTGCTAGAACTCCACTGGTATTTTTTGTTAATGCTGTCCTATGTATTGTGATCAAATTCTTCATAGATTAGTATTTGGGCAGAAGCTTTTCCATTATTTTCCTATAAATCTCATCTAATTATTTTACAGTATAATAAAATAATCATGAGAGCAACAAAAGAGAAAACAAAATTAAGAATAAAAAAATAAAAAAAAAACCTAAACTGAGCACAATGCTAATAAAATAAGGTTTATTTTGTTCTGGTATTTTGCTGTCCTATGCCCACTTGAAGGACGCTTCTACTAAATACATCTTTAACAAAAGTGAAACTATTGGCTGATTAATAAAGAATAGTGCAAAAGAAAGACAGGGACAATAAATCAGGTTTCATTCTGTAACTTGTGATTTGACAGCTATAGTCAACAGGTAAAGAATAGTGCAAAAGAAAAACAGGGACAACAAATCAGGTTCCATTCTGTAACTTGTGATTTGACAGCTATAGTCAACAGTTTTAAAGTGAATGTAAACCCTAACAATGAACTTCTCTTAGTTGCTCCCTTTTGGTCTCTTAAATATATCAGTAAAAGTGCTTTGTTATACCTGTTCAATAAGTGAAAGAAAATACCTGTTAAGCCTTCCAGAAATCTTTTGAGCCTCCTGTGCTGCACTCTTGTAGCATTGTTCCCAGTTCTTTCTGTGAACTGCAGAACACCCCCCTATGTTATGGAGAAGAGGAGAGAGCGGGTGTTCTATGGTCCTGCCCTAGTGTGACACCGCTTCTACTCTGTAGATACAGTATAGTGAGTGAACATTGTCATACTTGGATAGTAAGTGTGTTACTGGCAGGTTCACGAGTGAAAAAAAAGAAAACATCTTCAAAATGTTATGTTGTCCACAAATTTCAACCTGAAACAAACCACTCATTTTCATGTTCAGGTCAGAGCAACGGCTGACTTTGTGCACATTTTTCAGTGCTTTCAACTCATTTTTTTTGGAAGCTAAATTGCAAAGGAAGCAGTTAAAGTTGACCTTTACCCCATTTCACAACAAATCACCTCAGCATGCAGCTCTGTATGCTGATACGAAATCTTCTTACATTCATTAGTTCAATTCATTAGTTCAACAACTATTTTTACTGTTTTTCCACTTTGTGGTTGAGTAAGGTACTGGTGATGTAACCCTGGCCTCAAAGATGCATCACATGAAGGCTACATCACCAGTACCTTCCTGGGAAATATCATCTGTAAATTGTAAAATCTTGCAAGATCTTGGGGAGAGGATGGGAGGCATTTTCCCCTTCAGATGTTGTGCCCTGTCACGTGTTTCAAGAGGTAGACCCAGAGTTCCAGGAATAAAGGGAGATGGATTAATCCGTCCTTAGTAAAAATGGCCACCATAAGAAGAATGGGGAGGAAAAGAAGAATTAGTTATGCTAAAAGGCTGCCATCTACTGTATGTGTAATATCTATTTCCATATAAATGATCAATTTGTAGATTGGCAGTACTAAATAATCCCTAAAGGTGCCTTTTCTGTACTTTTTAAGATAAGGGTGAACTTCTTCAAGCAGTCTGGCATTTTTACTTTGTTTTCGGTAGTTCTGTTTGATGCATTCAAACATGCACAACATTGATTTTATAGAAATTTAGTGGAAACCAATGATGACTACAGCTGAGTCAAAGAAAACAGAAAATGCACACATGGTAATGTTGAAATAAAACTCTGACATACTATCAGAAATTAGATCACTTCGTCTTAAAAATAAAAGAAAAATTGGTGGCAGCAGCCTACAGAAAGTTTCTTTTTTATCACTCACCAAAGCTGTTATTTTTTCTCTAAGTACTTTAATTTCTTCTTTTAATTTTTGTTCTTTAGATCTCCAGTCAGCTTTATGGACCTCCCGACTTAGGTCCTTCTCTGGTCCTGGTGAGTGCCGACTGGCTTCAAGTAATAAAGCTCTCAGTTCATTGAGACTTCTACAATACCAAACAGGATAAAGTGAAAAAGTACAAGCTACTTATTTTAGTCTTTCCCGGAAAATAATAAACCATGTACAATATTGTGTAAATGCATTTCAATTGCATGAATATATATATAACGTATGATATTTATTTAATCTTTTACAGGCATTTACATAGTGCCGTCAATTTACGCAGCACTTTACATACTATTCATTCACATCATTCCCTGACCTCAAGGAGCCCTTTCTCAAAAGCACACATTCATGGGCCAATTTAAATAGGAGCTAGTTAACCTACTGTCTTTGGCATGTGGGAGGAAGCAGAGGGAGAACATGCAAACTCCATGCTGATAGTGTCCTGGCCAAACCTGGATTCACATCAGTGCTGCAAGGCAGAAGTGCTAACTACAAAGCCACTGTGCTGCCCATGATATTATATTTATTACAAAATATTTCAGTATTAAATGCTGTAGATGTTTATCATTATTATTTATTATTATTCTTATAACTGAAACCAGCATTTCCCAAACTGTAGATAATCATACCAAAATGGCAGCAAATGTCCCCAAATGTTACTGCTCTATGAGATAGTATGGCCACTGTTATACATATGTCAGTGGCAGATTCTAGATGGGTTATGCTTATTTAACAAGCAGGCAGGAAACATCTGCTTCTTAGGGTTCTAATGGTCATGTTAATAAACATACCATATGATTGGATGCTGGCTTTCTCAGATGGAATAGTGATTATGTAACTTTTGGAAAATGGGTAAACACGTGAGCTTATAAATGCGTGCATGTAAAGATAGCATGGAGATGGATGGTACACATGGAATCCGTAGGGCTCTGGCACTCCAAAAGTGCTGATTGTTTGACATTAGTGTTTATGGAGATATTCCACAAGGTTTATGCAAAGTGAATTCAATCAGCCCTTGGGAAGAAAAGCTTAGGGTTTATGAAAGATCTTAATGAGGTAATGACATATTTATTTTTGCCATGTGCAGATGATCTGATACTAGCTGCGCTTTCAGCTGTGATTTCAGTTAAAAATCAAATGAACGCCTTTCACTAAGCAATCATCACACACAATGAAACAATTATTAGTGCAATATCATCTAATCTTTGGGTCTGTTTGAGACCAAAGCATGTTTTTTTGTTGTGGGTGACCAAAAGTCAACCTCAGAACTGCCCCAGAACTTAGGACCCATCCGCACTGGTGCGGTAACATGCATAAGATACATTGCATAAATGCATAAGATACATTGGTGTGATGTGTTGCCATTCATTCTTAATGGCACACCAACACACCAGTGTTGCACTGTAATGCATGGTAATGCACTAACATGGTGCATGTCCGTTTCTCTGTGCATGGACAGCCCATTCAAATGAATATGCTGCCTTAATACAATTCATGACAATGCATGGCATAACTTGCATTAACTAGGGTGCATTATTGCAACACCCCAGTGTGAATGGACCCTATGAAGTAGAAGTGCTAAGAAGTACTTTTTAAACATACACAGTATATTTAATTTCATAGTGGCTAATTTATTATGCGAAATACCTACAAAAAATACATCCTTCACTAAACTGTGTTAAAAAAAAGAAGCAGATTAACACCTGCAAACAAAAAGACATCTTTCATAAATGTCCTCGACAGTAGGCAGCTATTGTAGAGAAAAACACTTGGAGTACAAGGTCATAAGTCTAAGCCTGTGCAAGCTCCTGAGTTGAAGCATGCGGACAGGTTGCACAGAAAATAGGTAAAAACATTAAAATAAATATATACAGGGCTATTCACAAAAGGGTGAAGAGTTTGGAGAAGGCAGGAGAAGTGAACAATCTAGGACAGTGGTGGCGAACCTTGGCACTCCAGCTGTTTTGGAACTACAAGACCCATGAGGCATTGCAAGGCTCTGACAACCACAGACATAACTCCCAGAGGCAGATGCATGTTGGGATTTGTAGTTTTGGCACAGCTGGAGTGCCAAGGTTCGCCACCACTGATCTAGGACAACATAGCTGATTTGGAAAAATTCTCCAATTCAGCTCACTTCCCAGTTCAGCTATGTTGTCCTAGATTGTTCACTTCTCCTGCCTTCTCCAAACTCTTCACCCTTTTGTGAATAGCCCTGATAATGTTATAATGAAAGTCCAGATGAAAAAAAAAAGGTTCCACACTGTGATAGTTTGTATAAATTTAGAGGAAGTTAGCGGTTTGGTTTTAGCATACCTTTAGCACCTGTCAGAAGCTTACGTTTTTGTCATTTTGATAAAAAATTATAACCTGTAGCCATCTGGTCTTAATATGAAAAATGTTCAAAATGGAATTTCCAATTTAACGTGTATGTTTACCCAAAAAGGGTTTGTTTGTTTTTTCAGTTTCTAGGGAAAGATTTAAACACCTGACAGGTTGGTTTTTGTTGTCTGTGTCCAGCTGGGGAGATTTCCCTCCACTTCTTGTCATGAAGGCAGAACAGGATATACGAGTAAATCTTTACTGTTACTCCCAGAGCAAGTGTCCCTATTGGAAGACTTCTCTTCTTTTCCTGTTCTGGGAACAACTGTAACATTTTGAATCCATAATTTTCTATTTTGGTTTCAGTAGACAACAGGAGAAATGGGGGTTGAATCTTTTCAGTGGGACACAGACACCAGTAAAATCTTCCCCACTCTTCCCAAAACTAAAAAAAGTGGTGCCTAAACCTACTCATTATGATCTAAAGAACTCCTAATTAATTTAACGTCACTTACCTTTCTTTTTTTAGCAAGTCTTGGCTGATCAAGACAAACAGGCCTGATGCGTCATGGGATTTCCTAGAAAAAGCTTCTAGTTCCACTTCTAGTTTCTTATTGTCCTTCACTAATGAATCCACCTTCTTGTCTCCGGATTTACATTTACTCTCGAGTGCTGTTGATCACAGTAATTAAAGATATTATAGATACAATAATATTTTTGTTTATTATGGTTAATGCATTGAATTTAATTTACTGAAAAGTATAGAATGTGTACATAGCTTAGTAAATAAAGTCAAAAATCTGTTCATTTTAAAAACCCAACCATGTGCAAGGGAATTAAACAAATTAATTACACTCATGATGCCAATATTGGTTGTGCAGTTTGGTATACTACATCTATTATTCTTAAGCATTGAGCTTAACAAGGGGACCTACTCTCACTTGAGGTTATTAGGAGCTTTCTTAGGGCATATTCACACGTGGGACCAATGTGTGTCCAAATACAGGCACCTGAACCTACACAGATGTGTAGGTCTGGGTTGGCATGTAGCGGGGTTCAGCCATGTCCTCGCATGGGCATGCAGGTTAACAAGGAGACCTATTCTCAGTTGGAGTTATTTGGAGCCTTCTTAGGGCTCATTCACATGTGTGTCCAAGTTTGAGCACCTGTAACTGATGTGCTGGTTCAGGTTGGCATGTAGCCATGTGCAGCTGCTGTCTCCCATCCAGGCTTGTAGGTGCTTGGCTGAAAACTATTCATGTATCATTTGTAGTAAAGTCTAATTCGCCTTGCAGCTGGTTCAAATCCCAGCCAGGACTCTTATCAGCATAGATTTTGCAAATTCTCCATGTGCTTGTGTGGGTTTCTTCCAGGTACTCCGGTTTCCACCCCAAAGACATGCTGGTAGAATAATTGGAAGGTCTTGCTTTGAGGAAGGGGATGGTTACCCCAAAACGCGTTAGCACAGCCCCCCTTAGGCGTGCACCTGCAGCGTTCTTGGACCATCTGACTTTGTTATTGATATGCCTGGTTTCCTTCAGGAATAGTGAGTAGAACATTTTTACTCTTTTATTTCATCATTTGGTCAATAAACCTACTGCACTAGGAGGCGGTGCGTGCTCTGTGTTTTGTTTAATAACTGTCTCCTGCTTAAATAAGCCCTAGTATGTCTATGTGTGCATGTGAGATAGTGTAACGGATCCCCGCCATCTGCGCATGCGCAACCTGCACGTTCCCGCACGGCTCGGGAACGCGCCTTCCCACGAATGCGCAGAAGCGGTAGATTACCAGCACGAAAACGCGCCATAGCCACGCACAGGAAGTGACATCACTGGCCCTATATAAGCCCGACATCAGTACCACCATGTTGCTGGTTTATCGTCAGCTAATCCTTGTTCCTGTGTTTGTGATATCTTGCTTGATCCTTGTGATATCTTGCTTGATCCTTGTGACCCGGACTTCCTTCCTCGACGAACCTTGAATTCTGCCTGCCTTGACCTCGGAACTGTTATTTGACCATTCTTCAGCCTCACCCCTTTTGTACTGGAATTGCCCGCTTGGAACCTGACCTCGGCTTGTCTCATAGGATTGCGGCTTGCACGGTGCTCAACACCACTGGCACTCCTGCCACTTGTTGTCCCGCTGGGCTCTGTTCCCATCATCAGAGTCTCCCAGGACACAAGGTGCAAGGGAAGCCTCCTCTCACATCCGGTCTCCCAGAAGGTACGTAACAGATAGGGACCTTAGACTGTAAGCTCCTTGAGGGCAGGGACTAAAGTGAATGAACACTATGCAAAACGCTGTGTAAATTGACATTGCTATATAAATACCTATAATCAATAAATAAAAATATACAAGTGACAGTAGAGGATACTTAGTACAATGCACAATCTACTTGTCTAAGGTTGTGGTAGGGTTCATTGGCTGTTCTGGCCATGTCGGAGAATTAGAATATTGCGTATTACTAATGAATTATCATACTATAAATTCTGTGTATCCGTACAAAGCTAAATAGAACAAATTGCTTCCTGCTACCAAAACATTCATGTTAATTTAAACCTGAACTCAATACTCAAACACCAAATTCCTTTCCAAAACCAGTTATTATTTTCCAAAAACAGAAACAACATCATCACTGTGCTGCAAATAGCCTTACAGAGAGCAGAACTGTAGGAGGGACACAGCAGGCCCCACCCACAACAAGCTGCGTGCAAAAAACTACAGGAGGGGCAGATACAAGACCAGTCACCCTGCATAAGAAGAGAGAGTAGAAGTGACCGGTCATTATTACAGAAAGCTCCTCCACAAAGGAAAGGTTTCACACTAGATTACATCACAGATCTGGTAGAAATGCACAAATAACACCAATATTCAAAGAAGAATACACATGTCTCCAGTATTTAGACTACATTTGTTTTATCCCGTCATTCAGCTTTAAACATATTGTCAAGTTGCACAGTTGCAGCATTTTCTCTGCTATGCCACAAACTACTAAGAGCCAAACTCACCATTGATTTGAGCCCTTAGTGATTCGATATGTGCAGACATGGAGGATACTTCTTTGTCTCGCTTGTTAAGTTTCAGCTGCAAATCTAAATAAAGAGAAATAAAAGGGAGAATAAGGAAAGAAAATTAATTGAAAAACATTACAGGTTCAGTCTCTTTTAAAGTGTATCTATAGCCCTAATTTTTTATTTTTTTTTGGATAGTGTGGGGAAGGGTTAAAACTCCTGTAAGGAAGGGTTAAAACTCCTGTAAGGAAGGTTTAAAACTCCTGTTAGGAATTTACTGCTGTTTGGGACTACGGTATACAGTAAACTCTCCATTATCCAGCACCCATGGGGATTGGTAGATGCCGCATAAATGTATTTTCCGGTTGCTTGAGAGTTACTGTTAAAAATAAGTATAAACTCCTTTCCCCCTGTGGCTTCTCCCCCTTAAGCCCCATTCATCTGCCGGAGACTAGATTCCGCAGCCGGCAGCTGAATGTTAACAGGCAGTGGGTGGGAGCAATAGCCAACCTGCTATTGGCTATTGAAGTAGCCAATAGCAGGATGACTATTGCACCCTCCCACTGCTTGCTGTCAATCAGCAAAGTACTGGACCTGATAGAGAAAGTTGGCTTCCTATTGTTCCCACCACACATCTATTATGTCCTCCATTTTTATTTATTTTTGCCGTTTGCTTGAAAGTGGAGGTTGCTTGAATGTTGGATAACGGGAAGTTTATTGTATGTTTTTTTTTAAAGTTAAGTAGGAGAAGGCTAGGGGCGTGGCTGGGATGTGAAGCTGGCAGGACGAGTGTGAGTGAGCTCCGCTGCCCTTACCGCGTTTCATCAGTTATTTACATCCTGTCAGGGAACCTTCTACCTCAAGCACAGCCTGCAGATCGGCGATTGTGTGCTGCTGGACTATGCCCACGAAGTCGGGTTAAAAAACCTTCTACACCCGGGTCCAAGCGCCGCAGACGAAACACGTGTTCCCCCTCGGCCATCTTCACAGGAGTCTGGGCACCCACCTGAGCTGCAGACAGCCACTATACTGACAGCCATAGAGGCTTGTAAGTTGGCGCTCACCACTAAAATTGACCACCTTGCCGTGGAGTGTACGCTCATTGGACAAATTTAGAGGGCGCCTATCTGAGGCTGAGACTAGAGTGTCGGACCTGGAGGATACGGTGGTGGAACACTCCTCATCTATAATGGAATTGCAACACATGGTGAAAACAATATCTGCAAGGGCGGAAAATGCCGAGAATAGGATGCGCAGAAATAACATCTGTATTATTGGCCTGCCGGAGGGAGCGGAAGGGCCACAACCAGTACAGTTTGCAGAATCACTTTTCAAGAAGATATTGGGTGTGGCGGAGGCCCCATTACTTTTGTAGTTGAGAGAGTGCACCGTGTGCCTGCAGGCCGTCCTCCTCCAGGGGCCGCGCCGATACCCTTTCTGACAAGATTGCTGAATTATAGAGACAGGGACTCAGTGCTTGCGGCTGCCCGAAAGTCTCCTGCTTTACAGCATGACAATACGGAAATTTGTTTGTTCCCGGATTTTTCAGCGGATGTGGAGAGGCGCAGAAGATCTTTCCAAGATGTCCGACGCCATCTCAGAGTCAAAGGTCTACAGTACAGCATGCTTTTCGCCAGTAAGCTGCGGGTCCAGTATGACGGTTCTGTTCTGTTTTTTGACTCTCCTGCTGCAGCTAATGACTGGAAAATATGTGCTGAATGGCTGCTGATAAAAACAAAACAAAGAAGCGCTACTGCCCTTTAAATATATAAATATTAGGGCTGGTAATGATTAAAATTTTCCTGTTTGATTAATCGAATTTTTAAAAATGTATATAGTGGTGTTTCAGCATACCAGCATTAACATGTGGCTGGATGAATGGTGTTGTAGTTTTTGTATGGCTGCTGATAACATGTTTTACGATTCCTACACTGGATGCCTTTCTGGAGTTGCTGAGTGGAAAACGGTTTGCGGCTTTATGCTGATTGGGTCATCTTTCTAGTCCGCATCTGGTGCTTATTGTTTTCATCCCTATGGTAGGGGTCCCTTGTGCACTATTGGGGTGGTGCGTAAAAAGTCGGAGGCTCCTCACTTGTGGGTAACATTCACAGCTACTGACTTGGTCGGTCTCTGGACAGGCACATGACTGCTTTGGTTTGTCTTTTTGGGTATTGTCCTTTGACTTTAGTTAGGTGTAAAGCTTCTGTGTGATTATTGCATATATATGTTTCCGTATCAGGTACCTTGGGATGGCCTGGTCTTGTGGGGGATTTCTGGGCTTTTGGTTTCCTGGACCCTCATGGGATACTTTCATTGCAGGTGGGTGCAGGATGGCAGGAGTCCCAGTTAACACAGTGTCCTGGAATGTGAGTGGTCTGAATCACAAGTTCCAGCGTTCATTGGTCTTCCAATATTTAAAACCGTACAGGCCTCATATTATTTTGTTACAGGAGACGCATTTGGAGGGGCAGAGAGTGTTGGCATTGCGGCGCCCCTGGATTCAGAGAGCCTTCCATGCTACTTACTCTGTATACGCCCGGGGAGTATCTATACTTATACTTATCAGTAAATCTCTGCCATGTACTATTGTACAGGTTTTTCGGATCCAGGGGGCCGTTATGTAATTGTGGTTCTGGAAGTGCACACCCTTAGAATTGCTATCGTTAACATTTATTTACCCCCTCCATTCCTTTTTCAACTTCTGTATGATATTCTAGCTAAGGTGGCACCCTTCTTACCTATTCCAATAGTATTTGCGGGGAATTTTAATGCTATCTTGGACCCAGCGTTGGACTCCTCCAATCCTAACAGGATACCAGGGGTGGAGCTGATGGGTTGGGCAGAGGCTGCTTCCCTGATGGAAAGATGGAGATGGAAAAATCCTGGTCTTAGGGGGTATTCCTGTGTGTCCTATATGCATAACTCCTCCTCCAGGATTGATATGGCCTTTGCTAATGACCTATTTCTGGGGTTAGTATCGGAGGCCGCTAATCTGCCAGGTGGGGTTTCAGATCACTCACCACTGTCCCTTACGCTCACCTTCCCCTCACAGTTCCAGCGCCGGGGATGGAGGCTGTCACCGGGCTGGCTTAGGGAGGAAGGTGTGGCAAGCAGAGTTTCGCCCCTGGTTGGGGAATACTGGGACCATAATGACGGATCTGCAGATGAAAATATTGTGTGGGATGCCTTTAAGGCTTATATTCGGGGTGAATACGTTTCTCACATAAAAGTGTCTAGGTGCAACTTTACCAAAGAAAGGGTGGATCTTCAGGGGGTGGAAGAGGAGTGTTCGAGAGCTTATGAGGCCTCCCCTAGTGAGGATACCTTGGGGGCTATCAGGGCGGCTCAAAGGGCCTTGCAGTTACACCTTAAGGTTCTGATGGGCTGCTCTCTTCGGGTGGCAGCGGAGGCGAGATTTGAACACGGGGACAAGAATGGTAAATGGTTGGCCCTACTGGTGGCGGATCCCCATCCTTTAACAAACATTCCGTGTATACTGGACTCAGCGGGGGACGGGTGACTGATCCAATGGCAATTATGGAGGAATTTACACGCTATTATAGTGCTCTGTACACTCCTGTTGTGCCTTATGACGGGGGGGGGGGGGGGGGCTCTTCTCTCCTTATTAGGGGGACTGGGGCTTCCTTGTCTTGGGCTGCAGGACAGGGAATCCTTGGAGGAGGAGATCTCGGTTCGGGAGATTGAGCATGCGGTTGGTTCATTCCCAGCTGACAAGGCCCTGGGGCCTGATGGTCTTCCGGTGGAATGGTACCAGTATTACTTACCTCAGTTAGCCCCCCCCTGCACTCTTGCCTACTGCAGGGGAGACTGCCAGATTCCTTTTATGGGGGCTAATGTTGTCCTTTTGCCTAAACCGGGGAAGGATCCACTGCAATGCTCCGAATACCGCCCGATCGCTCTTCTGAACATGGATCTGAAAATTCTAACCAAGATTCTTGCACTGCACCTTGCAGGGGTTATCTCCACTCTGGTGAATAACAATCAGATGTGATTTATCCCTGGGAAATCTACTGATACGAACCTACGCAGGGTCTTCACTAATCTCCAGCTCTCCCATGATAATGTTGGCTCTTGGGCATTGGTCTCTCTAGACATTGAGAAGGCCTTAAATTCAGTGGACTGGGATTACATGGGGGCAGTTTTGATGCATATGGGATTTGGTCCTAACTTCTGTAGATGGATTACTTTCTTGTATAGGGAACCTAGAGCCTCTCTGAAGATAAGCCTTGCTCTATCCGATAGCTTCCGGGTTGGGAGGGGTACCCGGCAGGGGTGTCCCTTTTTACCGGGTCTTTTTGCATTAATGATGGAACCCCTGGCTGTGGCCTTACGTGCTTCCACAGTCTTGGAGGGGTTTAAGGTGGGGTCTATTGAAGAGAGGCTTGCCTTATACGCCGATGGCCTAATTCTATTTTTGGCGGATGCAGGCCCTTCACTTAGGGAGGCATTAAGAATCTTGGATACCTTCTCAGTGTTTTCTGGCCTGAGAGTTAACTGGACCAAATCCCATATTCTACCATTGGACGAGGTGATATTGGGTTTGGCGGATGGATCAGTCCCCCTGCGATGGGAGTCGCAAGTTACATACTTGGGAGTTAATATCATGGCTAGAGTCACTGATTATTGCTCGCTGAACCTGATCCCACTACTTGCCCAGGTCAAAGGTAGGTTGATAGCGTGGAAACACTTACCGATCTCGATGATAGGGAAAGTAAATCTGTTAAAAATGAAGATTTTTCCAGTATTGCTGTACTTACTCCATTATTTTGCGGTCTGGGTACCTGCAAGTTTTTTCCGAGGACTTTGTGTGGGGCTCACAGGTCTCTCGACTGCGAATTACTACATTACAGGCTCCTTGGACGAAAGGGGGCCTGGCACTGCCTGATATGAGGAAGTACTTTTTGGCGGGGCAAATGGTGATCGTACGCAGGTGGCTTGTGCGGGAGCACAGTGACTCTGCAGTGGTGTTGGAGGCGGCGAGCTTGGGGTCCTATGGGGCTCTGTCATCCCTGGTATATAGGGGCTGCGGGGCCCCTTATGACCTCACACTCTCAATGCGG